GGGAGCGGGGGGGGGGGGGGGGGGAGAGAGAGAGAGTTGATGGAGTAGTGAGTTGCTGAAGAAGAGAGAACAGCAGGGGGGGAGGGGAAAGCTGAAGAGAGGGAGGGGGAAAAAACACAGACAATTAGACAGGCACACATGCATACAGAGGGGCGTGTAGATAACTGCAAAAAAAAAAAAAAAAAAAAAAAAAACAGAATGTGAGAGGACTGGGCGCCCGAGTAGTGAGCTCTTAAGCGAAAGAGAAGAAGACGTAGGACAGGCGCGTGAACGGAGGGAGAAAGGAGACCAGATCGGTCCGAACTAAGCAAAGATGAACATAAAAAAAGAGAGAAACTGAACGGAAGGGAGAAAAGGAGACCAGATGCATGCCTACGGTCCGAACTAAGCAAAGATGAACATTAAAAAAAAGATAAACTGAACAGAAGGGAAAAAAGGGGACCATATGCATGCCTCTGGTCCGAACTAAGCAAACATAACCATAAAAAAAGATAAACTAAACGGAAGGGAGAAAAGGGGACCAGATGCATGCCTATGGTCCACTCATGAGACGGTGCCACTTGGCATATGGAAGCACGTGGCATGTGGATGCCACTGGATCAGTGGCCAGGTTGACAAGACACCGGTGCACGCCACGTGGCACACGTGCATGGCTGAATGCCACGTACCATGCATGCATGCAAGCGCCACGTGGCATGCGTGCAAGCTTGCACGCCGCGCGGCATTCTTTGCCAGGTGGACCAGTGCTGTGTGAATGAGGCATGCGGCGCATGGCTGCGCGCCACGTGGCATGTGTTATGTCGCCCGTGGACCAATGCCGTGACGTGCCCGGTGATGTACGCCATGTGGCGTTTTCATGCATGCATGCAAGTGGATGAGGGCATGTGTGCACGTGCATGCATGCATGGCTGCATGCCACGTGGCAAGTACTGCTGAAGTATATTGGAACTTGCGAATGGACATCTTGCGCGGTTGTGACTCTGTCCTGATGGGCACAAATATTTGCTTTTTTTTTTTTTTTTTTTTTTTTTTTTGCATACATATTTTCATAAAGATCATCATAAACATCCCCATAAATATTGGCATAAAATATTTGCCAGATACATGTCCTTTCTCCTTTTTTTTGGAAGCCACAATTTTCTTTTTTTTTTTTTGGAAAAAAATCACCTTCATTTCACATGGCCCAGTGCATCAACAGAACATCTGGAGGCCGATGACACTCCAGCCCAACTCTGCGGGCAGAGCTCCATGCCCTTTCAAAAAAGAAAATAAATAAAGAATTAAATAAATATTTAGTGGCATAAATATTTCCGTAATCATTTCGATAATTACTTCCATAGACTCTCATAAATAAATAAATACATCCTCATACCAACGGGCCTGCCTCAGTTGGTACACCCATGAACTGTTGAAATACAGACCTGAGTACCTACGGTCGGTCAGTTCGACAATGACCTCCGATAATATAATCAAAAAAAAAAAAAAAAAAAGGGCAANCTCTCTCTCTCTCTCTCTCTCTCTCTCTCTCTGTGTCACACACACACACACACACACACACACACATTGCAAGGTTGGTGTGCGTAAAATCGACCACTTTTATCTCTGAGGGGTATCGCTAACTCTGGGCGATGTGGTGAGTCCTTGTGTATCCATCAGTCAAATGAATCCTGGGCAGACTGTTTGTCGGGGCTCAACCTCCTGATGAGTCGGTGAAAGTCCGACGAAACAGTCTGTTCGGCACAGTCATGCTTTTTTGAGTGTATAGCGAATATCACAACAGACACAAACAGACGTACGTCCTACATAAGAAGGAACATAGGGCCTCGCTCCACTAAACAACACTGTAGTAGATGCATTTGGACGCCTTTTTCTGGACGAGGGGCATTCGGACGAGTCCAACATCGCGAAGGTATCGGGTCCAGAAAGCGTCCAAATGCATCCAGAGTGTTGTGTAGTGGGGCGAGGTCCACAGTGAAGAGGTTGTGGAACTGCGACAGATTTATCACCACACCATTTTGTCCATATTTTTCAGTTGATTTTTATTTTATTTTATTTTTCTAAACGTCGCTAATACGCAAAAGGTGTATAAAGAAGCAACCAGGTCCTGCCGCTCGTGTGTGACAAGACAACGCCACGGGGACAACCGAAAGCGCTGCAGCGACGAGGGCCGTCTCTCATCTCGCCTCATCACTAGATCTGCAAGTGGACGAGAGTATGGCCCGCGTGTACGTGTGCATGTGCATGCATCTCGCCTCATCACTAGATCTGCAAGTGGACGAGACTGTGGCCCGCGTGTACGTGTGCATGTGCATGCATCTCTGCGCACGTACACACCTAGAAAACACGTTCAGGTTCACGCACACGCACACGCACATGCACACATTTGCACGCCAGGCTCTCTAACAACGCTCCCGTCAACATCTGGTCACATCAAAATAAAAAAACAAAAACAAAAAAAAGCCATCCGGTCACCAACCGTAAGCTATCCCGGAGAAGTGGGGGTTACGTATTGATTGGATCTACTGAAGAGAGGGTTACGTAACCCCCCAGCGAGCTAAGTACCAGTGGGGGTTCCGTATTGGTTGGATTTAAGTGTGCGAGAATTGCCATTTCCGTGGGTGTTCAGCGTCGTGTGCGTTGAGTTGGACACTACAGCCTTGAAGGGGTGGGGTGCGGTGGATATCATGTCCTGGTTGTATGGTTCCACTTTTGGGACTTGGCTCTTGAACACCATGTCCTGGCTCTAGTGGTACTCGGACTTGGCTCTTGAGGTGGACGTCGCCAGTTCGAATACGTGCTTGCACGGAGGGGGGATTAGGCCCAGATATACGGATCCATAACTACTAATGATGCAGACACGCCCCTTGGACCCTGCTCTCCTTTATCCCTCTCCCTCTCCTAATCGTTCATCTAAGGAACTTCAAAAAAAAAAAAACAGAAAAGAGAAATAAAAGAACAGAGGAATTCCGCGATTGGGACCGAATAGGGACAAATCCGAAGAGGCGGAAGAGAGAGAGAGAGAGAGAGAGAGAGAGAGAGAGAGAGAGAGAGAGAGAGAGAGAGAGAATGCTGGGGAGGATGCTGACGAAGATGCAGGGCATGAGTTTGATGAGGCTGAGGAGGGTCCATGAGTGCTGCAGGTGTCAGTATCCCATCAGGTTGTAGTGTCTTTCTGACAGTCCTGTAGTTTGAATTTTTGTGCGTTTGAGGAACAAAAAAGCACGGACAGAAGTGTCATTTAGTGCTGTTTATTTTCCTTCCGACAAGTTCTCTGCACCTTTTTTTTTTTCAATCATTTCCCCATTCCTTTTTTTTCTGTAGCTTTGCATTTCAAATGTTAAACGGTTTTGAAGTGCCACTGATCAGTTTTGTGGAAGTTGGATTTGTCCGACGTGCCCCCACTGTTCTTCACTCTGTATTGATGTTGCATTGCTGTGCTGAATTGACCTTAAGATGCTCCAAATCTGTAAAAGAAAAAAGAAAACGAAAAAAGATCTAAACAGCTAACCTACACACCATGCGCACAGGCGACATCAGCACACTGTTTCCACATCAGCACCTGCGCATGCGTTTCCACATCACCACACAGTGCATGACAATGGTCTGTCCACCGGACTGTGCATGGCAGACTGCATAATTGTGGGCCGCATGCACATATCTTATGGCGCAGCACACATACGGTTCGAGTATGGATAAAGTACGGATCAAGCATGGAGCACGTGTACACGATCAACTATGGATCAAGTACGGATGAACCACACAATTTAGATTCCAGTACGGATCAAGTACAGATCAACTACGTTGGCCGCAAGTATGGATCAAGTATGCACGTTGCATTCAAGTACTCTACTCTCAAAAAGGCTCGGCGAGGTCGGTCGCTTCCGTTATTATTAGTCATCTTAAATGAAAATGAAAAACATGATCAGAAATCCAAAAAGTCTGTGATTCTTTCCAACCAATAGGATTTGTGAATTTGAAGGCTATTTGGACTTTCTGAAGGTAAAAAATGATTTGATTCATCCAGAATAGGTGTACTTACTCGAATAAAAACAGCTTCGCTGGTTGTCGACCAAAAAAGAAAAAAAAGTTTAAACAACATAATTATTAATTACGAATTTGCTGACGTCAACGGTTCTTTCATGACGGATTAAGCATGGATCACGTAGGGATCAACCACGTTGGACTCCAGTATGGACTCCAGTAGGGATCAACCGCGATGGATTCAGCTATGGATCAACCACGCTGATTCAAGTATGGACCAACCACGTTGGATTCAAGTATGGATCAAGTAAGTATACTAGATCAACTTTGGGCCAAAGTATGGATCAAATCTGGATCAAGTCTGGATCAAGTAATGCATCAAGTGAAAAAAAAAAAAAAAAAAAAAGTAATGCATCATGTGTATATCGCAAGTAGAGATCAACCAGGTTGGATTCAAGTATGGATCGAAATACGGATCAAAGTACAAACATAGCCCATCGTGTGTATATCGCAAGTACAGATCAACCAGGTTGGATTCAAGTATGGATCAAAGTATGGATCAAAGTATGGATCAAGTATGGATCAACTCTGGATCGAGTATGTACATCACAAGTACGGATCACCCACGCTGGATTCAAAGTATGGATCAAGTGTGTACATCCCAAGTACTCGTCGACAATATTGAGTTCAAGTATGGGTTAAAGTATCAAGGATACTGGATCACCTATGCATCAAATATGGATCAAATATGTATCAAATATGGATCGAGTGCGGATTATGCATCGACCACGTTTTGGATTCGAATCCGGATCGAGTATAGATCAAGTGTGTACATTGCAAGTAGAATAAACAACAAAGGATTCACGTGTGGATCAAAGTATGGACCAAGTACGGATCACAAAGTATGGTCCAACCAGTTTGGACTCGAGTATGGATCAAAGTATGGATAAAGTAAAGAATCAAGAATGGATCAACAACGTTGGATAACTTGGATTCGACAAAAAATAACCAAAGCCGTTGATTTACTCACTTGTAGGACACATCAAGAACCAGCCCTCGGTACCCGGTGAGGTCGTCGTAGTCATCCAAATGGTCCTCTCTGTCCATATCATAGGCATATATGCCAAAACACACATCTGCTTCTCCTTCTTCTTCTTCGTCGCCGTCTTGTTCTAATTCCGATCGCGCTTCGGATTCTAACTCATGCGCTGAGTCGATCCCATGTGCGCCAGCTTCACCGATGCCACGAGAGGGCTTTGCTGCAGCAGGCAGGTGCCCCCGGACTCGAGGAGAGGCCATACGTTCGGCCAAATGCCAGCTTGGCACACAGCTGTTCGACTTGCTAAGTACACATCTATCTGATCCTCTGCCAATGCCATAAGTGTGATTGCACGCAGACGTCAGAAGCCAGAGAATGCTGCTCTGGCACTGCTGCTGCTGATGATGATGATGATAACAACTACCAACAAGACAGTTGTCGCCGTCGTGACCAACCACTGACTTCGATCGCATCAGAACAGTCCGTCGTCTTTCATCCGATCCCTGCGATCGTCTTCGAGAATGCCTCCGAGTCAGATTACTCCTGCAGACCTTGCGCTCGCAAGTCGTCCGCTTCCACCACCATATCTTTTCTGAGACCGGAGACATTCTCGCCAAACCGCCACAGCCAGCAGAACCATGGGCGCCACGAAAGAGAAGAACGGAACGCGTAGTCGCCAGGGGCGGCAGCTGCAGCGCTCTGTGGGAAAGGTAGACCATTGCTCAGATTCTGCTGCAGTCAGAACTGACGATCGAGGCCCACGAGCGCAAAGGCCGCACTTCACGTCAGCTTGGCAGCAGCCCGGATGCCTCCTGACGTGAAGACAGAGGCAAGGTATCTGGTTCTATTGCTGAGACCTGCCTGCAGGCAACAACAACTCACAGCTGGTTGTGGCCCTATCTGACAAACCTGCGTGCGGGCAACGCTGCCACCTGCAGCCTCTGCTGAACGCACAGGCTGCAGAGTTGGCCTGTCCTGGCCTGTCTCAGGGTATTATGCACGAGAATCGGCAAGAGGAGACGACATCATTCTCTTGCGTAACCTCCCACCAGCAGAAGTCGTGAGGCTTTATTACTGGTCAGCCATAACCTGCATCGCAGAAAAGAAGGATCAATCCAACAGGGGTCCTGGCACCAAAAGAAAAAAAAAAAAAAAAAAAAAAAAAAAAAAAAAAAAAAAAAAAAAAAAAAAAAAAAAAAAAAAAAAAAAAAAAAAAAAAAAAAAAAAAAANGGGGGGACAGGGGGGAAAAAAAGACGGTAAGAACATCTGCTCGTGGTCTGATCCATCGTTGATGAGCATAAGTTTCGAAGGAGATGGTGAGGCGCGAGAGGAGGGGAGAGGAGAGGAGAGGAGAGGAGAGGAGAGGAGAGGAGAGGAGAGGAGAGGAGAGAGAAGAGGAGAGGAGAGGAGAGGAGAGCAGAGAGAAGAGGAGAGGAGAGGAGAGGAGAGGAGAGGAGAGGAGAGGGGAGGGGAGGGGAGGGATAGCGAGAAGCAAAGGAGAGCGGAGGATATAAGTTGGAAGCGGATGAAAAAGCAAAAGAAAAAGAAAAAAGAGGAAAACGCGGGAGCAAGAGGCGCGAAATAATCCCCACAGATCGTGGGCTAACCAATCTTTTGGGAGGAGACGGAGGAGGAGAGGGGGGAGGAGGAGTAGGAGGAGAGGGAGAAGAAGGAGGAGGAGGAGGAGGCGGAGGTGGACATGGCACTTACCAGGGAGGGGGCGTGGATGACCGCCACGTGTATGATTCGGACCACGCGGCAAGTCCCAACGAGGCGCGCACAAACGCCACGAGCCTTGTATTGATTCCCGTTCCCGCCAATTCCCGATTTCCCGCCCCTTTAAATACCGCAAATTCCCGATTTCCCACCCCTTTAAATCCCGCCAATTCCCAATTTCCCACACATTTAAATCCCGCCAATTCCCGACTTTTCCACCTCTGTAAATCCCGCCAATTCCCGATTTTCAACCCCTCTAAGGAAGGCCGCGGGAATGACCACCACGTGTACCGTTCAGACCACGCGGGAAGTGGCAACGAGGCGCGCGCAGACACGACGAGCCTGCTCTTGCGATTCCCGCGAATTTTCCACTTACCCCCCCTCTCATTCCGTCTGGAGGAGACCCCAATAAGAAAATAATAAGGCCAAGAGAAGATTCGCATCAGCCTGCCCAAGCATGACTCGGACGAATCGACATATAGAAATGGTCCAAAACGAAAGGACACCATTCTTGCACTGACCAACCCCCAGGTAAGATCTGCTTTCGAACCCGGGGGCGAGGTCCCACTAGCACAGAGGATTAGATTTAACTCCCGAATCTGGACTCGTTTGAGGACAGATACAGAAAACCGTGATTCATCAGCTTTTCTGCATCGCCGGTAAGAACCTATCCAGATTCAGGTTCCTAGTTCGATCCACGTTGCTGCGGGGACCTAGCCCCGGGTGTGCATTACTTCATGGACGTACCAATGGAGTTACCGGTAGGCCTGTTGGTTGGGGCTCACAATTCCCGATTCTGGCTCCGTGGACCTAAAAGTCCAAAAGGCAGACAGGGGACGGGGGCCGCCCTCAACGTATTAAGGGGGGACGCGAATCCATAGGGCCCCGTGTTTTTCATGCTTACCCCTACTGTAGTCTTGAACTGTGATAAGAGCTTGCTACCTGGCCTATCGTGATAGTGATAGCTTCTTCTATGAAATGAATAAGTGCGGACCGGTCCCTACCCATAACTTTGTCCTTTGTTGTTGACACATGTTTTGGGTGATAGTCGTAAGTGTAGATGGGATTGGAACTTGTTATTTATTCGGAGGCGGGAGGTTGCACTTGTGGGGGTTCCATTTTCGTCGTTTCATTTCTTTCTATTTAAGGTAGTGCAGTACAACTTCGCTAGGACGGGTTCGCTTGGGGTCTCCGCCAGCAGAAAATAGGGTCCGGTCGCAGTCGTCCCTAAGACTGGTAGTAGTGTAGGTTATCTTGTCAAGGTCGTTGCAGTTTAGCATAGGGCCCGTCCATTGTTTCCCTTTTGAGAGAGAGTTTTTTCACGTTGCAAACTGATACCACGCTCGGGCGTGGGGGCGCAGCCAGGACGGCGGACCGGTGACCAGCCCACGAGGCGCCTGGCTGCACAGCCGAACGCCGCCCTGACTGACCGCAACGCCGGGACGAACCTAATAGCTGCGAACTAAACTAATAGCTGCGAACTAAACTAAACTGTGGACGTGATTGCAGTCAGATACATTTAGACATTCAGTACAGGAGGGCCCAGAAAAAGGCCAAGCAAAGGGGCAACACTGTATCTTCCCATGTTCTAAAGTAGGATTCAGTCTCATTTTGCACGGTCGGAGAGTAGCACCAGAGGCAAAATGAGACTGAACACTGTATCTTTCCATGTTCTAAAGAAGGATTCAGTCAGACTCATTTTCCACAGTCCGAGAGTAGCACCACCGCCGTCGATCCCCCAATGTCTCCCAATGTAATGAACCGTTGGATAACCGGTTCCTAACTTCCCGAACTGGAAACCGGGCGCAGCCCGCAATTCGTCCAAGGACCGCACCACCATCCCCGCGACCGCCACCACGTTGGCTCACGGAACGACCGGTCGGTGTCATGTTAGCGACCGCGACGCCCTATACCCTCTTATACCCGCTTACACCTATTTTTTAGGTCTAGTTGCATGACTCTGCACGACTCGCCATCCGACAACATTGTGAATGCAGCTGGACAACGCAGCTGCCTCGGTGCACTGGAAATGACGACAAATTTCCCCAAACGGAAAAAAGCAAAAAATGCATCCATGTATACGCAGCCATCCTGGCTGCGAACTGGGGGCGGGCGGGCGATTTGTGTCTAGGTCGTTTCACTTTTGTTTTTTTTCTCTCTTCTAGAACGGACTGAAAAGAGAAAACAAAACGTATTGACTTTCGGATGAGCCCGGGCAAGGTCCCACTTGCGCAAATTAGGAGATTTGGGCCGCTGATCTTTGCTAGCTACGGTCAGTATCTCTTAATTCGTGCAAGTGGGACCTAGCCCCCGGCTAAAGGCCCCGGTATCTCAAATGACTTGTGTAACTCTATATGGGACGCTGGGCCCGGATCCCAGCATGTGTTGCTCCCCCCGAATAGACTGGAGCATTTGTCCCAGGAAAAAAAAAACAAAAACATAAAAAACAAAACGTATTGACTCTCAGAAAAACCGAAAAAAGCAGAAAAAAACCTTTTACCTTTGCCCCGAGAGCTGTGGAGATAGACGGCCTTAATGCCCTTTTTCCTGGCCGCGTGCGGGGTGGTACCTGTCTCTTATACACATCTAGATGTGTATAAGAGACAGGGGCATGAGTTTGATGAGGCTGAGGAGGGTCCATGAGTGCTGCAGGTGTCAGTATCCCATCAGGTTGTAGTGTCTTTCTGACAGTCCTGTAGTTTGAATTTTTGTGCGTTTGAGGAACAAAAAAGCACGGACAGAAGTGTCATTTAGTGCTGTTTATTTTCCTTCCGACAAGTTCTCTGCACCTTTTTTTTTTTCAATCATTTCCCCATTCCTTTTTTTTCTGTAGCTTTGCATTTCAAATGTTAAACGGTTTTGAAGTGCCACTGATCAGTTTTGTGGAAGTTGGATTTGTCCGACGTGCCCCCACTGTTCTTCACTCTGTATTGATGTTGCATTGCTGTGCTGAATTGACCTTAAGATGCTCCAAATCTGTAAAAGAAAAAAGAAAACGAAAAAAGATCTAAACAGCTAACCTACACACCATGCGCACAGGCGACATCAGCACACTGTTTCCACATCAGCACCTGCGCATGCGTTTCCACATCACCACACAGTGCATGACAATGGTCTGTCCACCGGACTGTGCATGGCAGACTGCATAATTGTGGGCCGCATGCACATATCTTATGGCGCAGCACACATACGGTTCGAGTATGGATAAAGTACGGATCAAGCATGGAGCACGTGTACACGATCAACTATGGATCAAGTACGGATGAACCACACAATTTAGATTCCAGTACGGATCAAGTACAGATCAACTACGTTGGCCGCAAGTATGGATCAAGTATGCACGTTGCATTCAAGTACTCTACTCTCAAAAAGGCTCGGCGAGGTCGGTCGCTTCCGTTATTATTAGTCATCTTAAATGAAAATGAAAAACATGATCAGAAATCCAAAAAGTCTGTGATTCTTTCCAACCAATAGGATTTGTGAATTTGAAGGCTATTTGGACTTTCTGAAGGTAAAAAATGATTTGATTCATCCAGAATAGGTGTACTTACTCGAATAAAAACAGCTTCGCTGGTTGTCGACCAAAAAAGAAAAAAAAGTTTAAACAACATAATTATTAATTACGAATTTGCTGACGTCAACGGTTCTTTCATGACGGATTAAGCATGGATCACGTAGGGATCAACCACGTTGGACTCCAGTATGGACTCCAGTAGGGATCAACCGCGATGGATTCAGCTATGGATCAACCACGCTGATTCAAGTATGGACCAACCACGTTGGATTCAAGTATGGATCAAGTAAGTATACTAGATCAACTTTGGGCCAAAGTATGGATCAAATCTGGATCAAGTCTGGATCAAGTAATGCATCAAGTGAAAAAAAAAAAAAAAAAAAAAGTAATGCATCATGTGTATATCGCAAGTAGAGATCAACCAGGTTGGATTCAAGTATGGATCGAAATACGGATCAAAGTACAAACATAGCCCATCGTGTGTATATCGCAAGTACAGATCAACCAGGTTGGATTCAAGTATGGATCAAAGTATGGATCAAAGTATGGATCAAGTATGGATCAACTCTGGATCGAGTATGTACATCACAAGTACGGATCACCCACGCTGGATTCAAAGTATGGATCAAGTGTGTACATCCCAAGTACTCGTCGACAATATTGAGTTCAAGTATGGGTTAAAGTATCAAGGATACTGGATCACCTATGCATCAAATATGGATCAAATATGTATCAAATATGGATCGAGTGCGGATTATGCATCGACCACGTTTTGGATTCGAATCCGGATCGAGTATAGATCAAGTGTGTACATTGCAAGTAGAATAAACAACAAAGGATTCACGTGTGGATCAAAGTATGGACCAAGTACGGATCACAAAGTATGGTCCAACCAGTTTGGACTCGAGTATGGATCAAAGTATGGATAAAGTAAAGAATCAAGAATGGATCAACAACGTTGGATAACTTGGATTCGACAAAAAATAACCAAAGCCGTTGATTTACTCACTTGTAGGACACATCAAGAACCAGCCCTCGGTACCCGGTGAGGTCGTCGTAGTCATCCAAATGGTCCTCTCTGTCCATATCATAGGCATATATGCCAAAACACACATCTGCTTCTCCTTCTTCTTCTTCGTCGCCGTCTTGTTCTAATTCCGATCGCGCTTCGGATTCTAACTCATGCGCTGAGTCGATCCCATGTGCGCCAGCTTCACCGATGCCACGAGAGGGCTTTGCTGCAGCAGGCAGGTGCCCCCGGACTCGAGGAGAGGCCATACGTTCGGCCAAATGCCAGCTTGGCACACAGCTGTTCGACTTGCTAAGTACACATCTATCTGATCCTCTGCCAATGCCATAAGTGTGATTGCACGCAGACGTCAGAAGCCAGAGAATGCTGCTCTGGCACTGCTGCTGCTGATGATGATGATGATAACAACTACCAACAAGACAGTTGTCGCCGTCGTGACCAACCACTGACTTCGATCGCATCAGAACAGTCCGTCGTCTTTCATCCGATCCCTGCGATCGTCTTCGAGAATGCCTCCGAGTCA